CACCAAGACCTGGCAATTGCGTCTGCAATGGCAGCAGAAAAGTGACACATCAACGCCGCATCCTGTTGGACAAGTAGTGAGAGCGTGCGAACGCAGCTGACGACAAAACGCGTAAATTAAATTATAAAATTAAATGAGAATAAAAAAATAATAAAAAATGAAAAATAAAAAATAAATAATACAAAACACAAAATATGAAAATTATGGATTCACAAATTTAATAGATATTTCTGCCGTTCCTGCAATTGAGTTTTTGTTGCTTTCGCACGCCATTAAAATTTGAATTATACGATGGAAGCACATTTGCATAAGAATGCCTCAATGGATGTGTAGACATCTACATACTAAGACCTATATATATGAGTATTATGAAAAAATCTATTTTTTCTAAGACATTGATTACTCTCAAGGATATCACGTAGAATGACCCCGACATTAGAAGTGCAAAAGCAGAGATAACGACACATATTCCCTCAAATATAACAGGGATAATGGAATTACGATTTAACCTGACACTGTCAATAAGATGAGCTAAATTATGTGTAATAGATTAACAAGGTTGGTCAGAATGGCCGATATATTAGAGAAATAGCTTGCATATATTATTATAATTTTTTACTAAGAAACTTGGCATTACGATAGAAATCTGGACTAAAACATTATAACGACGCATCATCATTACATCACATAAACATTCTAGAACTACTAACTGCAGTTAAAGTGGAATAAAATGATTAGAAAACATTAGAATCGTTATATAAATAATAATATTATAATAAGTATAATAAATTATCTATCAATCTAAAAGTATTTTATATAAATATTTTAAGAACGACTACGATTTCTAAGACACCGCTTCTTCTACTCTACATATATAATTTTTGAATGATTACAATCTCCAGGACCCGTTGCTCAATGATGAATTTTGGTGAAGTCGACTATTTTCAGCAGAGTTTCTTATTACTCTATGTGTCATAATAGCTAGTTTCTTTTGCGAGGATATTAAGTTCTATCTGAAATTCTAAATACTTGACAAACACTTTAGGTTTGCTATAGTTTGAAAAATTTTTAAAAAGTGGTTTTTAATTTTTACAAAAATGCAGTAGTCGAGTTGATCGGAGTTGGCTTAGTATCAATTTTCTTAAATTTCTTCATTAAAAAATCACATCTTAATATTGTCATATAAGTTTGTTATAAAATTTATTAAATATTTAAAGGTGTTTAGAAGTTTTGTTAAATAAAAAAAACAAAAACAAAAAAAATGAGTTACCAACAATATATCGAACCGTGCACTGACACACCCCAGCAGGTTGACAAGCCCCGTTTAGAAGTTGCGACATCTACCGAGAAGGTGTTGAAACAAATTTTTTCGGGTAAATCAGTTCCAAATAAAATTGTAGGTGAATATAAGGTAACTCCAATAATGTCGTACATAAATCGTGAGTTGGATATACTTTCACTTCGCGAGAATGAAATTCTGGCGGAGACATGGAACGATTACTTGACAGCCGCACCAACCCCAGCACCCCGTTTTAGACTATATCGCGAATTATGTCAAGTACAAGAGTAAGCTCAAGCTTCCTTTTTTTTAAATATTATTAAATTCTCCTTTCAAAATTTAGCAAGCCACAGCCTCGCAAGTTCTCTTTGTCTGGGAAGTCCTGCTACGATCACTTGCACAGGCCTTGTCCGGTTCCTGCTTTTCGTCGTGAGTTTGGTATAACGCGCCTCTTGCCACAACCAAGCAAGAAGAGATAAGCACTAAATTTAGGCTACAGAGATGATCTGTGTGTTTTATTTTTATAAAAAACCATTTATCACAAGTAACAAAATATACTTTGTTTCACGCACAATTTCGTCTTTTAATTGAATTGGCGAGTATATATCTTCCAAGGTGGTTTGAAATATTACCCACTAATAGACACACTTGTACATGTAAGTTTGAATTTGCAGAACTTAATGGGTAATCGTGGGTGAGCGAGATCTCGTCCACCTCGTCAGAGCTCCAACAAATAGGTGCACGAAGCGAACTATTACAACCTGGCCATAAGTTATTGTTTTAAACTGAATGGCAATTGGGACTTGGATCCTTTAAGTGTACTTAGAAGTGAATATAGTTCTTGATTCACTTAAAAATCGGTAAATCGGTTTAGTATGATTTTTAACATTCATCGGTGTTATGTCTTCTTCTAGATCATAAATTCACTTTCTATTGGGTCCACCTTTTCTTTTGGAGCCACATCGTAAGTCAACCTTTCCATTCACTGAGATTACATCAATTGGGATTTCTATAATTAATGCATTAATATAATCTATTAATAGATTTGCAGATAATCAATATTAATCAATAAATAGGTATTGTTTAATAGCCATGATAAGGTCAGGGTTTTCAAATATTTATACTAAATTTTTCTACTTATCAATTTAATCTTAGCATATCAAAAATCAACCCACCTCCTGATCTAAAGATAGATGTACTGAACTCCGCAAACTCTCAAACTGTTGAACTG